ACTATAAAGTTTACTCCCAGTTCACTGGCCACTTATTTTAATGTATATGTTAATCTGACAGATCCACACGACAGCATCCAGCGCGCATTATACTATCAACTAACATGGTCATTAAGGTTGTTTAAACGACAAAACAAATTAATTTACACATATTTGACAATCACAATAGGCTGTATCATATAGGTTATGATATAATTAACAAGTTTGTGAATATTTTAAATAAAAAAGGCAATACTAAATAAAAGCGATACATCTGTCATACAGCGCTATTGTGCCTGCATGACGCGTTGCTATGGAAATAATGATACGTTATTTAATATTGTGTTTTGTATTATTACCATTGTAATAATATTGACATAATATATGAAGAAGAAAAAAATCAAGCTGTCATTTCATGTACTCTTGGGGGCCCCCTGGTGGCCACGGGGCCCTAAGCAGCCGCTTAGTTCACTTATGCCTAGGGCCGGCTCTGTTGGGGAGATTTAAATAATACCTTTCCTATTTAAAAGTTTAGTCACGCTAGTGAATTTTAATTCTAATCTTAACCAACTATAAAAACAAATGCTTTAAACTGGCTCTAATGAGAGACAAGCAGGTAATAGTTCTTAATAAAACTGATTTTATAGATTCTACTTTAAGTGATTAAGACCATATGTCTGCCTTCTGTTCCACCTAATACTGCTGTTCTGGGATTATTTAACCTGGTTATTTGTCTCTTGTTACTTTGCTGCTCATAAAACTAATGTGAACTGAACGTATGTCTAGAAAACAAAAGCCTGTTTTCTTTTTGATTTGAAAAAGCGCATATCCCACTGAACTCCCTCGAGGAGAAAAGCAGTAGTTACGGAATGCTGATACTTTGGAAAAGACTGGAACAATTAGAAAACAATGCAAACCTTAAATAAGTCATTTATTTTTTTCTAACATACTCTTCTTTTGCCTGGGTTATCTTAGGTCATAATCTGCCACTGCTGTAAGGACTTAAAGGGATAGTTCACCCATTTACTCACCTCATGTTGTTTCAATCCTGTGTGAATGACTGACTTCTGTGGAACATAAAAGAAGATATTTTGAGGAACGACAGGTTTGGAACTAGATGAGCTTGACTAAGTAATGACAAAATATCGCTATAATATGACAACATGGGTGCCTTGCTGTGGTCACTAGTCAATTACTTGAGTTTTTAAAGAGTGCTAACAGGTAAAAGGTCAGCAAAAGAGTTTAGTGCTGTTGAAAACTGTAAAACTTAGAATTTTAAAAATCATTTATGTAGTGTCGTTGTCGTTGTGTGTGTTGTAATGGTTTTGGCACTGTTCTGTTTTGGCTGTAGGCATGTGTGAGCGAGCTGGTCCTCATTGCTGGTGGAGGAGGCATGGAGGGTAATGGGGTGGGAACACATGAGGGGTTTCAAAACTAATGTAAACATAATGGAAGATATTAACATTTAATGTACGAAGACTTTGTTCTTTCTGGATGGAATCAGCGGTTGTAGTTTAATACCATAAGGGTGGGCTCGTAGCACCAGAGGGTGTTTTGTGCTCTTTTTGTCCAATAATAATCCAAACCGTTTCTCTCCCATGCTCTCTCCCCCTGCAAGGAGCGGAAGGTACACAACCTCTGCAGTCTTTGCTTTTTAGTGTGACATTTTCATTTGCTTTTTCTTTCTTTTCCTTGTACTGTAGCTTTTCTGGCAGACGCCACTTTTTTGTGTGCTTATTTTTTAAATGTCTTTTGCATTATTTTCTCTCTTTTTGTTTTCTTTTTGGTCTGTGTGTGTCTGTCTTTTTTTGTTTTTTTTTCTGATGATGGAATTTTCCATGGATGTCTTTGCATGGGCCTTTTCAGCACGCAGGGGGATCAGTGCCATGATTTCGTTCCCACTTTTGGTGCAAATGGTCACAGCTGCAGGTTTATATTAGCTCTTTAGTCTTTAGTGCTTCAAAAATACATCTGTTATACAAGTCTCCAGTGCCTCAAGAACACGTCATAAATGAATAGTGTAGAATGAAGGCAGTTCTCCTCTTGGCTGGACAAGTATTGTAAATACACAGTGATTTTCTTGAAAGCGAGACTCTCTTAAGAGCTATAGTGTTGACTTTTTGATTAATTTAATGCAATTTAATAATGACAAAAAAAAGTATCTGGGGTTATTTTTACTCTCTAGAATATGAAGACCCATAATGCTGCTCAGGTGTTGAAACCTTTACGGCTCACCATTTGCGTCATTGGCCCATGTAATCCAGTCAACATGGAAACTTCTCTTTCTGTGCAGTCATATTTTTTTGTTCTGGTAGCTTCTCAACAGCTTGCTTATCATGTTCTTTCTTCGTTTCTCTCTAGTTTACAGTAACTAACTGTCCAGATTGTCATCTCTTCAGAAAATACTTTTTTTTGTTTTCCCACAAGTGTGTGATTGAGTTGGTAACAGTGTGTGCCTCCAGAATCCTGTGCCCCTTGGACCCAAAGCCATTCCACTGGCTGAGACAGTGGTGTATTAATTATTATATTAATATTAGAGTTAGTATTAACACTAGAGATTTTTTTTTTATTTATTTAGTGATCAGTATTGTATATTTAATTGTGAATTATATGCCATCGTCTAATGCTCACTTAAAATGAATCTGTAAAGACACAAGTAATGTAATAGAAATTTAATTTAAACCTTTTTAAATATTATAGAAATATTATATGTGACCCTGGACCACAAAACCAGTCATAAGGGTCAGTTTTTTGAAATTGAGATGTATACATCATCTGAAAGCTGAATAAATGAGCTTTCCATTGATGTATGGTTTGGTTTGGTAATTACCCCCATTTTGATTCTAGGCCTGTACGCGACACAGCAGTAACTCAGTCACATGCAGAGCACAGAAGTTATCATGTTCAGCACTGTTAGATGTGGCGATCTGAACGACTGAATGAGCTTTAGGTGCAAAGGTTATTTATATATAACCTGGTTATATGTCCAGTCATATAACCTTTGCAGGTCTAAAATATATATATATACTGATTTTGTGGTCCAAGGTCACGTATAGAAAATTAATTGAAATATTAAATGTGATCTTTAAACAAGTATCCATTTTTCATACTCTACATGATAATGTTGTGATCCATACATTCACCATCAATTAAAACGATTGATTTGAGTTTTTAGTGTTACATTTTAGTTATATATTTAAACATAATTTTAATATCATCTATTAATCGGTTAAAACATGAAAATAATTATCACTATCTGTCGAAATATTGTTTTTATTATTCACATATCACACTGAAGTATAGAAAACGTTTCAATTAAACTGTTCCCTTTTTTGTTCTTCAGTTAGCAAGCTAATAGCTTTAAGCACTGTTAACTGGTTAAGAAATGCTTTGTTTATTAGCTAAATCAAGATATCAAGATAACACACTGCATTTTGATCTGGCAGGAAGGGGAATAGGATTCTTCCGGTGGATAAGATCTTGCACAACATCAGCATTTTTGAGAAATAATGCACAGTTGAAGTTCTTCTGTGACAAATTAACTGATCAGCTCCGTTTTCGATTGCAGTTGTTTCCTCTGATACATCTTTTAATCAAGAATACTGCTTTAAGTGATAGTTCACCTAAAATGTTTGTCACAGTCTTTAGAATAGAAGGCTTCATAAAGTTAGATAAAAACTAAACCATGTAGAGATTGTTTAACCCAGGGGCGTCCAAACTCGGTCCTGGAGGGCCGGTGTCCTGAAGAGTTTAGCTCCTACCCCAATTAAACACACCTGAACCAGATAATCAAGCTCTTACTAGACATACTAGAAACTTAAAGGCAGGTGTGTTGAGGCAAGCTGGAGCTAAACTCTGCAGGACACCGGCCCTCCCTGGTTTAACCGGTTCTTCTGGAGATATGTACAATGAAGGGAGTCTCTTCTGTAGTCACAGAGTCGCTCTAGACTGGGTTAGTGCTGTGTCATTTTTGCTGCTATGAAAACCTTCAATCTCCAGCAGGTAAAGTGCTGTCACCTTCATATTTTCTTCTTCTCTTCCTTAACCTGTCCTCCTCATTTAACTCTACATCTGTCATCATCTCTCATACATCCTCGTTCTCCATTAATGGCTGTCGATCTGCACTGCACTGCCTTGATGTCAGATGTCGCTTCTCCTACACTCGAGTTCATACGCTCATGCCTGTAGTAAAAGTCATTCCATAAGTGATGGAAAAACCCAGCAGACCCCGGATGTCCTTCCAACTTCAGCTTTCAATGATATTCCCTCTCTTACTTTTTCTCTCTCTGATTTCTCCATCTATCCTCCACCACTCTTACTCTGTATCTCTTTTCTCTGGCTTTCTTTCTCCTCCTCAAGCCTGCCTTGATTCAGTTCCCCATTGCATAAGAGATTCTCAGCCTTGTGGGAAACGTCTACCAATGATAAATCCTGTTCAGTCGTATGATCTTTATGAGTGCTGCTCTTCTGCTGCAAGATTCCGTGCTCTGTTGCTCTGTCTGAAATGTGGGGGGGTCAGATATAGATTATTAATATTCATTTGTCATGGGCCGTATGTATGCCTCCCCTGTTCTCTCTCTCTCTCTCTGTCACTCTTTCTCTCTGTCTGTTTCTGCCCCCTGCCCTTGAATATTTTATGCATGTTATTCCACTGCTGTTGAACTTTTTATTTTGTGTCTTGCACTGGTATTTGCAGTTCCTGAAACTAAAGAAGTGGTGATCCATAAGTACAAGACTCCTATGGTAAGATTTCAGTATTCATACAGTACTATACAGTAGAGCTGTATATCAATACAGATTTCCAGATTCAGTCCAATTCAGAAGCTCTAAACTTGTTGCAGTATCTGATTTCAATCTGATTTTTATTAGATTCCAATTCATTTGACCTATATTCAAGTCTGTTTCGCTCTAAATATACAAGAAACGTATAAATTAGTACTGATTCAAATGGTGTTTTTTTTATTATTCCAGTAAGTATTTTAAATGTTTTGTGCAATTTTTGAATAATTAATTAAAAAGTTTTTAAGAGTACATTTTTCTGAGTAAGATTACATTTTACAGCTAAGTCACATCTTGCAATATCGACAGTATTATTGAACTGAATTAAATCAACCTTGAACTGATTCATGCTGAATAACAAACAACCTTTTGTAGAACTGCTTATAGCTGAATTGATTGATGAATTTCACACTGTTCTTGATCTGAACTGAACCAACACTGAACTGACTTGAGCTAAATAATGACACTATTGTCTTTTAGAGCTGCATTAACAGCAGGATCTGAATTGTCTCCGTAGTTGAGTTTCCATAATTGATTCTATTATTTTCCTATCACTGTGAAGCTGCTTTGACACAATCTGTATTGTGTAAAGCACTATAGAAATAAAGGTGTCTTGATTTGACAACACTGATCCAGCTTAAAGGGTTAGTTCACCCAAAAATGAAAATTGTCATTAATTACTCACCCTCATGTCGTTTCAAACCCTTAAGACCTTCGTTCATCTTCGGAACACAAATTAAGATATTTCTGATGGAATCTGAGAGCTGTCTGACCCTGCATAGACAGCAACGCAACTGAAATGTTCCCAAGTCCAGAAACCTAGTAACGAGATCTGTAAAATAATCCATGTGACATCAGTGGTTCATCCGCAATTATACGAAGCTACGAGAATACTTTTTGTGTGCAAAAGAAAAAAAAAAAACGACTTTATCCAACAATTCGTCTCCTCCGCATCACCCTGTAGCACCGTTTTGGAGAATATCCGCTGGATCTAAACAGCGTATGCTGTTCTGTGTTAGCTGCGTCACACGGATCTGCTGTTTCCGTTCAGATCAAATCACAACAACGTAGGAAACAGACTTTACGCAGCTAACACAGAACAGTATACGCTGTTTACGTTCAGCCGATATTCTCCAAAATGGCACCAGGGTGATGCAGAAGAGACGAATCGTTGAATTCGTTGAATCGTTCTTTTTTTTTTCTTTTACGCACAAAAAGTATTCTCGTAGCTTCGTATAATTGCGGATGAACCCCTGATGTCACATGGATTATTTTACAGATCTCCTTACTACGTTTCTGGACTTGGGAACATTTCAGTTGCGTTGCTGTCTATGCAGGGTCAGACAGCTCTCAGATTCCATCAAAAATATCTTAATTTGTGTTCCGAAGATGAACGAAGGTCTTACGGGTTTGAAACAACATGAGGGTGAGTAATTAATGACAGAATTTTCATTTTTGGGTGAACTAACCCTTTAAGGTGTGCCACCAATAAAAAAGTAGTACAGAAAACACTAGTATAGAAGAAGAAGAAAAAACATTCTTGGGATTTTAAGAATTAATATCAAGATTGTTAAAATCAAGATGGCAATTAAACCGGAAATCAATATTTTTACCCAGCCCTGTGGTATAGAGCGAATCTTTTTTATTTTTATTTTATTTTTTGCCATAAATAACAGCTGTTAATTCTTCTGTCTCGGACAGGCACATCAGATCTGTTACTCTGTGCTCTGCCTCTTCTCCTACATGGCGGCGGTCAAGGGGAAAGAGTCAGAGGGCAAGCCCAAGATGCTGTCACCTCGTCCACTACCGAGCTAGCACACTTCTCTCCTACGTTTACTTCAACCCTCCAGCTCCTGAACTCCCTGCAATACTACTCCTGTTCAATAGAAGCTGACACTCCTGCCAAGCTCCTTTTAAAGACCTCTGCTCCTGTATCGATTCAAATGTAGATGTATTCACATATTCATCACATCTGTCCTAAAGAAACAACATGTTCATATAATGTATCTGATCACGTACCTGATATAATATTCCAGTCCTTGGACACTAAAATGCTGGCATTTCATTCTCATAATAGAGACCAACCAGAGCAAAAACAGACTTTTGACTACTGTCGGTTGATGTCCTCACATTCATACGCCTTTTATTTATTTTAATCGGAGGCATTTGGTTGCATGCAGGTCCCATGCGCAGCTCTTGCGAGTTGGCACTGGCATGCAGACATCAGGCAAACGTCTTTCCCCTCTTCAACCCCCTCTGATATCAGTCAACAGGCTGTCTATTTAATATTGATGTGCTAAGTTGTACTGTAAATTCAAGTCTGTTCTGTCTGTGGTGGGTGAAATGTTCAAGTCTTTGCAATCTAGCGCTGCCACGTATGAGGGGTTTGCCTTAACCGTCCGCGACGGAGCAGCTATCCCATTCGTAAATGTTCCATACGCCCTCCTCCTCCACCTGCTGTGAGTGGTCTAAGGTCTGTGTATCTCTTTAGCTTAAAAGGCTCAAACTACTGTACTAGTTCTGCTGTAAAGTTCCCTGTCTGTGAACTGCTGTTAAATTTGCATGTCACTTGGGGAAAAAAAATTGATATTTAAAAAAGGAATCTACATCTCTGAAGCAATGCTGAAAAAGCAACTAAAATGTTTATGAAAAACTAGTTTGTTTTCTAGATGTGCAATACTATCGCTAGTGGGTACCAAGAACAAGTCCAGTCATGTCCTCAGAGTTCATCCACTGTCCTCCTGTGTTCATAATGAGGAGACCAGAGAGCGGATCAGGCATCACTTCTGCGTTTTCTGTTCATTTCTTGTCGTTATTTTGTTACAGCAATGAAAAAAGGCATTATTAATCTATAAGACAGGTGCATTTGGAGATTATTTAAATAGTGATGGAAAATTCTTGTCCAAAATGTCATGTTTGAAGTGTCCTCTTCCTGTTTGTGTGTGTGTCTGGGTGATCGTGTGTGTTTGTGTTAGAAACACTGATGGCAAGAGAGTGTGATTGTACGTAGAGGTGCAGATTTTCTCGGGTCATCTCTAGATTTGGCACTACAGCTGTCACATTTACATATTTTAATATTCTTTTATGTTTTGCTCACATTTTTAATCATTTAGATGTATGAAGTGTTGTTTTGCGTCTCCATTCAATTCAGTTGTTGTATGCAGACTGTAAATGGACTTGAAAAACCCACTCAATATTGGTTTTGAGATGTAAATAGCACACAAATGATTTCCTGGAGTCCAAGTCTCCCAAAAGGGATGTTTTGAGTTGGACAGTGGATCAGGTCTGTTGTTTGAAAGTGTGAGAGAGATACAGTTGCACATTATTTGGGCTTTCATTTTAGTCTGTATTGTTTCGAACAAGAGGGAAAGGAAAAAATAGAGACATGGTTGTAAATATTTCAGCATTTAAAAATATTTATAGAACCTGTACAGCTTTGGCAATATGAAAATAAAAGATGTCCAACCCAACTCTGTGACTGTACGTATTGTTACTGTATGAATTACAGTTATTATATAGCGGTCACATAATTTTTTTATTAAGGGATGATATTTGCCTCTTAGAATTTTTTATTTTTTTCTGACCATATAGAAACTAGTTTATATCAGCTTTTATTATTTTAGTTATTTGTCAAATACTTCAATTGGAACTTTAAAATCAACATCAAATACAAATGTAACATTTTCATAGTCACCGCTATAATAATTTTAAATGAATGAATAGAATCAGTTTTAAATTTTTGAGTTCAGTTGCAAGTTTTTTTTTTCTTTCATCAAAAGCCTACATATTTGCAACATATTCAAACACGGACCCAGTAGATTTATAACCACAGCATGTTAGTTTTTGTGTAAGTGCATTAATGAAAAAGAAATGAGACATCTCTGTATATAAATGTATTTTATTGTCATTTTGGAAAAAAAATATCTTTGTCAGAGTACTGCTAAAACATTGTAACACTTAAGCTCCAACATTTTTTTAATAAACATTGCATTGTTTATGTGGACGCCCATCCAAAAAAAGTCCACTGGAGGTGCTCATAATCCTGAGCTCTTTCAATATCAAAATTGTCCATTAACAAAAAATGAGGCTATAGCAGGTTTGCAACTCATCTACTAATTAGACTTATTAGCCACATGAGCTATCTTTGCATTGTTGCTGCATTAGTACAAATTGGCCAGTTTTTCTTTCTATAACAATTTCATATTTGAGGCCTTTCAAGTATCAAAGAGCTTAGTCTCCACTGCGCATGACAATCAGTATACAAGTACTGATAGTAATTAAATTGACTATCCAGTCTCCATACAGTATATCAAAACAGAGACCATTTGTTTTAGACATCAGCTTATAAATAATTCTGTACCACGAGAAACAGTCGATGGCCCATCACTGTCTGAACTACTATTTACAGTACAAGCAAATATAAATTGAATGGTTCATTACTGCATAAAATGGGGAAACTATTTGTGGGTAAAAATCAATGTATCATATATGTTTATGTGAAAGAGAGGTTAAAGTACTGTCCGTTAAAATAATAATCCCTGAAAGACAAACAAAGGTTGGCTAAAAACGTTTAGTTCTGTTGCCACCACATGTGAAATACATAAAAGCTAAAAAGGAAAATGATATAATACATCACAAACTAAATCTCAAACTGTGCCAGAGATGTCACTTTGTTGCAACATGGACTATATGACTGATGAAAACATTAGTGGTTCAGAATAAACCCATTGCATTAGTTCAGACTAGTACCATACTTTGGGCAGTTTCCATACATATGATAAACATTTAGTTCCAAACAAAATTTCGTCATTAATATATTAAGACTAAAGCCAAATTACCTCTGGCAAACTGTCCCTTATATAGTAATAAGTCAAGACAAAGAAAATGACTGCAAGAAAGAGCTGAAGACTCCAAGATCCCTTCAGTAAAAGGCCGCAATAACAGTATTAACTACAGAAGAGCAAATAGCTACTTGCCAAAACTGAAATGCCCAACAGAAAATATCCCTACGACCCAAACCTTTCTACAGTGAAGAGATGTTTTTAAAGTTATCTTGAAGAAACAGATTATTCCTATCATTAACTGTCACTGTAGTGTGGTGGATGAAGAGAAGTGTCTAGCTATCTCCACGGACAGCCTTCCGGAGGATCCTGAGACGGGACATGACCTCATCCCAGTCCAGATATGCTCCTTCTAGATGTCTTGAGTTCTGACCTCGTGACAGGTAGCTCTTTCGGCCATGCAACAGACGCCAGTTATCAAAGGTCACCATGTCACCTGCGCAGAGATGAAATGAACAACCAGCATCAGTCCCCTATTGATACACGCGCAATTCTTATGTTGTCATATTTGGTTTAGTAAGGATAGCAGCAAAGGGAAAGCTTTAGGGCTTCAAAATACTTGAGATAATATGAGATCATTCTTTTGAACATATTTGAAAACCCTGGAATTAGATTTAAAATGGAAAAGTTTCCAAAACCTGAGCCTAATCCCAAATTCATAAGCCTTCGAAAATGCTTCATCTTTGTCTATTACGCAGTTGAGACTGTCGACTTTAGTACAAATGTGAACTATAACCATAATCTGATAAGGTAAAGAGGTGAACTGTGTGGCCACACTGACCTGGTTCCATTCTGTATGTGCACACGTTTTCAGGCCTGCTGAGCAGCTCCACAAAGGCCTTTAGAGACAAGTAGAAGGGCTGAACCTGATGCAGAGGCACATCCAGCACCGAGTCTCGTGTGGCGTTGTTATAGTTGATCCTCGTCACCCGACCCTCAGAGTCCACACTGTACATTACAAACTAGTTTGTATCAAATGTTAGGAGGATTTATGAGAACTACTATAGTGTATTGTTGTTTATAATTGCATGGGAAAGAGTAACCAGTACAATTTTGCGTTACACTGAGGAAAGCAAGTCACAAAGGTTTGGAACAACATGTCAATAGTGAATTTTCTATCGTAATAAACGCATTCATTGGTAGAAATGTAGCTCTTATGAGTCTCAGTTCTATAACTGACCATGAGATGGTGCTGTTTAACATTATTTACGTACAGTCAGTGTTGATGATGATGAGATGAGACAAAGTTAATCCACTGCATTAGCTATGCGTGATTATGTGTGTATGTATGTGTCTGCTGGAGCCACAGTCTGTCTTACTCTATAATGTGGTTTTTGGACTGCACGCTGAAGTCACAGTAGTCAGCACCGCTGTCTGTGAAGTCCACCCTGAGCGAGGAGAGGATGTTAAACGCCTCAGGATCCTCCCTACGGAGCTGCTCCGCCATGTGAAACCCATCTACCACTTCACTCTCACCACCCTGATCAGCCTGACAGACACAATGCAGGAACTGCACCTACACACACACACACACACACACACACACACACACACACACACACACACACACACACACAACCAGTGGTTACACACATATAGGAATTACAACAGCAGTCCTCTGGTGAAAAAAAAATCACATTGAAGGGAAGTACCCTCACAATTAAAGAATGCATATATTCACTTAATGAGTAAGGCAGCACAGTATGGTGTGTGTGTGTGTGTGAACTCACCCCAGGTGGATGGTGCAGAGCAGGGTAATCTGTGTGCAGGCTCAGTTCTCCAGAAGTGTATGCAACATTGTTAGCCATGGGCTTGTCCTGAACTTGCCACATGTGTCTGTGAAATCACAGAGGGGGCGATGGATCAGAACAGGTGACTATGGGCTTGTAAAGTTTTACTTCATCTCTCCATGTATTTACTGTAGGAAACCACAGCATTAAAATTCTTACTTGATTTAGTACAGTCTTGAGAGTAAGTTTGAAGACTAAGGAATCACTTCAATGAACAAAGCAGACATTTTTGTTATGGCAACGCAGTGCGAGAACTTAATAGTGATTTTTTTTGGTAGTGAATTCTTGATGAACCTACTCACTGCAAAGAAAAAAAAAGCTGCAATGACTATTTTTGTCTCTTTTATTTACTTCATTCAAAAGTACATCCGTGTAAGATAAACTCGTTTTCAGAAAATATATCTTATGTTTTTATATCTTAATTATTTTTCCTATTTTACCCATTAACAAATTGCCTTTGTTAGCCTAAAATAAGATTTATTTATGCTTAAAACAAACAAAAAACAAAAACCGTATTGTCGAAAAATAAACTCAATAGATTATCTAAATACAAGTCTTACACGATTCATACTGAAAGATAAATAAATAAAATATTTTTTTTAAAATAATTTTTAAAAACAATAAAAAAAGTTTGCAGGACTTTAACAATAAAAAAAACAAATATGAATTATGTAATAATGTTACAGAGATCCTTGCTTACTTATCCAGAACTAACCTTTTTGATCCAGTTGAGTTCTTATTAAAACACTATTTGAAATTTTACCCTAAAAATTACTCTAGTAACCTTAAGTAAACCTTTGTGACTCTGTGCCCACAAAAAAATGGGTATAGAAAAGAATCACCCCCCTTTAAAATAATCTCATTTCGTTGCTTTGAAGCCTGAAACTAAGTTTTATCCAGCTGTATTCACTCAGTGCAACTTATAAAATCCAAGTGAAAGATATACCAATATATCAGAAAAACAAAACAAAAAAAACTATCACTGAGTTGGAAAAAGGATCACCCCCTTGTGTAAGTATTTTGTTGAACCACCTTTTGCTTTGATACAGCCTTTAGTCTGTTGGGATATGTCTCTACTAACTTTGCATATATTTGCCCACTCTTCTTTGCAGAACTGCTCAAGTTCAGTTAAATTTGATGGTGACCGTTTGTGGACTGCAGTCTTCAAGTCATTCCACAGATTTTCCTCAAGAATTTGTTGATATTTTGCCCCATCCATTTTTCCTTCTATCCTGACAAGTGCTGCAGTCCCTGCTGCAGAGAGACACCCTCATAACAGGATATTACCACCTCCATGCTTTACTGTAGGAATGCTGTTATTTGGATGGTCAGCTGTACTGGATTTCCACCAGACATATCGTTTGGTGTTGAGGCCAAATAAATAAATTTTAGTCTCATCTCCCTCAGAATCCTCAAGGTGCGTTTTGGCAAAGCTCAGTCGTGACTGCATGTGGCCTTTTTTTGAGGAGTGGCTTTTTTCCTTGCAACCCTCCCATACAAGCCACATTTGTGGAGAATTTGTAATATTGTTGTCACATGCACACGACTACACTTTGTCATAAATTCCTGCAACTGCTTCAGAGTTGCTGTATGTCTCTTGGTTGCCTCTCTGACCAGTTTCCTCCTGACTCTTTCATCCAGTTTGGAGCGACGTCCTGATGCCTGTGTTTTACCAAATACCTTCCACTTCTTAATAATAGACTTCACTGTGCTTCTAGGCATTGATAAAGCCTTTGAAATTTTTCACCACAGCCTCCTCCTTCAGCCTGAAGATCCCTAGCCAGTGAAGTCTTGATTTGGCAGATGCAGTGCTTTTTTGTTCCAGTCTGGGTCAGGTGAATTGGCTTTTTGGCCAGTTTGAGTGAGCTCCTGGGGCTAGTGCGGTGTTAAATCACTCAGCCTGTCACTTAACAGGTGTCAGCTGAGAGAGAGTTCACATGCATGGATTTGTGATTAGTACTTCAGTTCCTCTATCTGTCTGTTCCTAGGCTGGGGTATCCATTCACTCATCTTTTCTTTTTAAAAATGTTCCCTGCATGTTCTTGCGAGAAGCTTTGGTGTCTGGCAAGAAAATAAATCAGAATTTCAATGGTTTTTGATTAATAAAATGGGCTCAGTAAGTCTAGAGCAATGGAACAAGTTTAACTGACTGTAAAGCAAAGCTCTTTCACATCATTTGTGTGTTTTTTTTTTGTTCGTTTTTTTACAGAACAATGTTCTGATAGTTGGCCAACAGTTTCAGCACAAAATGCTTTCATCAAAGCATGGTGTAGACAGATGACCCATACTGTGACATCCATGATAATCTTATTCAAACTGAACAGTCCTATGGCTGCATTATCAGTTTTACACACTACTTTACTCTCAAGTCAATAGCAGAGATGTGAGAGGCAGAAACAGAAATACGACTTGAGGACTAGAGATAAAGGTAATAGCAACCATTATTCTTCTCAGGGATGGACAAAATAACCAAAATACCTGACAACATACCATTACCAAATATAATGACAGGTTATAAAAGGTTATTTAGTGTCTAATTTTAGTCTTTCTTAAAATGCTGTATAACAAGTTTTGGTGTTCCAGAAAACTAGCTATATATAGTTTGGGGTCAGTACGATTTTTTTTTTTTGAAAGAAATTAATACTTTTATTCCGCAAGAAAGCATTAAGTGGATCAAGAGGGACAGTAAAGACAATTAACATAACAAAACATACTTTTTGTAATAAATGCTGTTCTTTTGAACTTCACAATATTACTGTTTTTGCTGTATTTTTGATTAAATAATGCAGCCTTGATGAGCATAAGAGACTTTCAAAAACATTATTTAAAAATTATTACCGACCCCAAACTACCAACACCAAAAAATCTCATGAAGAAAATTAGATTACAGTATAAGATGCACCTGGCCCTTTAAAATGGCCTTGTTTGGTTGGCTGTTGGAGAGAATCCTCAGACCGAATGAGACCGGTGCCTTGAACACTACACATCTACCATGTTTTCAACAGACATTGTGGGTTGAGGGACTTTTTATTTCCTTCAATTATAAACCTGTCCAGATGTACCGCATTAGGGTAGAAGATCAAACCACATTACTCATCACACCACATTATGTTTTCCATGAATGATGGGTTTGTGCCCTTTGCAGTAGGTTATTTGTCTTTCTTTGTAGATCTTGGAGTGAGAATGACAGTTCTGGCATAAATGGCAGTTTTGCACAATTTTTGGTCGCAGATGTTCAAAATCAGTTTAACAATTTCTGAAATGGTATTTTTGAGAAACTTATAGTACTACCACATAATTATTTTTCATAGTTTCCAGTGACAGACTAAATATTTGTGCATATATTTTGCAAATAGGCAGTCAGTTAAAGAGCCATAAAGAAAATTTTCCAACTATTCTTGATCACTGAGTAAGTAGTAATATACTGCATGTTGGCAGTATGAGAATGACTCCTATTACTCCACTGTTTCCAAGTCTGCAGTATTAAAATGACTGTATTTGCTACTTCTGTTTGTGTCTTTGCTCACTAACCCAATTGTTAAACCATTATAATTATCTAAAAATAGGCATTTCATTGCTTTAATTAGAGTGCAGCCAAAGCTTCAGACCATACCCGTAAAAGGTGAGGCGGAGATAGCCAATCCTCTGACTCAGTCTGGCCACCTGGCCCTGCTCTGCCGGCGCCCCCCTCAGGTAGACAATGCCAATGCGTCTCAGAGCCTCTAGCCAGGCCAGGGCAGCCTTGTCATCATGTAGAACTTCCTCAAAGTCAGCTGTGGGGATCTGCAGACTTGAATCCCAATATTCACGCTCTGAAACACAGACACGCATATAAATAAACATTATAATAAACAACACAAAACATCACAAAGCAATAACACAACTTAGTGTCTAGTGTCATGGAGTGTAAAGAAACATAGAAACCTTAAATCATTTATTTTCATAATTTTCTGTTTTTTTATGATTTGATTAATTATTAGTTTTTTAGCAACTCACGAACCTCTTGAAGTTCCACCACAAAACCTAGTTCAGGAAACTGCATTAGAAGGCCCAGTGGTAAATTAAAAAGCGAAGTCAACAGTGGCTCAAGTCTAAATAATTATGTGGGAATGATGTCAGCAATACTAAAAAGTCAGCAACTAAAATCCTTTCCAAGCTAAACATGTTTCTGTTCCTATCTCTGTTTCTCATTCTCTAAGCACCCTGATTTACAATGCAAATAAACACGATAGAAACTTTGCACCTATGACCATCCCAAGTGTCTGTCTTAACATAATGAAGGATAGTGTGTGTGTGTGTGTGTGTGTGTGTCAGGGTTGAGGCCAGAACATATTGGTCAGAACACTGTGTGAGAGCCTGCATGTTTGAGGAAATACTGCTGGAAAATTCTGGTTCTTATGTCTACTTTCACAGACGGCCTCTAGAGAATGTGAGAGCAAGCGTTCTGCACTTATGTCTGCAATTCACTGCTTGGACCTTTATGCTGTAGAATTATTTTTCAGCCCCGCACCTCTTTCTCAGCTTCTCTCAATTTAGAAAACTGTTCCACTGGAGAATTTGACACAGTAGAGAATCCAGAGACAAATATAGTTCAGGACCAACAAGTGAAAGAAAAGCACTCCTGACCGATTATGTTTTCTTACCAGTTTAAGAAATCATTTACACTACCATTCATTAGTCTGGGGTCAGAAAGAAAAAAAATGAAATTAATACTTTTATTCTGTGAGGATGTATTAAATGAATCAAAAGTGACTGTAAAGACATGTATAATGCGATAAAAGATTTGTTTAAAATAAATGTGATTCATTAAAACTTTTTATTCATCAAAGTATCCTGAAAAAAAATGTATCATGGTTTCCACAAAAAGAGACAATTTAGAAAGCATATTAGAATGATTTCTGAAAGATCATGTGACACTGAAGACTGCTGAAAATTCAGCTTTGCATCACAGGAATAAATTACATAAAAAAAAAATAAATGCAGTCTTCGTGAGCATAAGAGACTTTTACATTGAGAACATTAAAAAAAATCTTACCGACCCCAAACTTTTGAATGGTACTAGTGTATTTCCAGCTTGCACAGATACTCCCCTCAAGATACTTTGTCGTGATGTATGAGCATTAATAAGCTTAAAATTTCTTAGATGGATATTATCCCAGAGGTAGTCACACCTCAACAGGATAAATAAAGTTTGTATATTCCAGACCCCCTGACTAGGTAGAAGCCACAATGCCAACTCAGTAAACTTTACTTGGAAGGAGCATCTACAATCTATTTAACCACAGCTGACACACATGCAGGATATCCATGGTGATGAGCAGCATGAGCACAAATATAACAGCTGTCTCTTTGTGGCTCATAACAAACATTCTCATAAATATACAAATAAAGGTAAAGCAGTTGGGGGTGAATGGAGGGCTTGAAATTTGAACAATGAAAGATGGGGGAATGTTTAAGAAACCTGTTTGAAAACAGTTATTGATGCATTTCTGTTTGGCATCACTAGAGGCACTGAAATGAAACATTTGAATGAAACATGGCCGTTTGTTTACAACTGAATTCATTTGCTGGACTCGCCTAAAAAAATGCTGTTTTTGAATGGTTTCAGCTTCAGAAGCTTGGCCACCCAGCAGACTAACTAAAATGGTATTTTGTTATTACCAACCATAGTTATATAAAATGTGTAGTTTCAAGTTGACGAAATGCATTGAAAACAGATGTAACCCAGAGAGAGGAAACCTTGCTGCTAAATCAGTCACAATACACACTGACAGAAGTATGAATATGCAATCACATAAACGAGCGATCAAGTTAATGCAAACAAAACCTGAATTGACTGACACACAAGGCAGAGAAAATACCCACAATCTCACACTAATATTGAGGTTCTGGTATGAAATTGATCAAAAGAGAGAGCGAGTGAGCTGGGCACTGGGCCCAGGGTGAAGTGGTTCAGTCAGTCCAGGTCAGTAATGTTCAGCTCTTATAAGCGTGTAATGTGCAATATTCTCTGTCACGCTGACATACTAGGGTTTCCTGGCAGTGCTAATGTTGACTTAGCCAGATATTAATATCATGCTATCATTCTGCCCAGCAGGGGCTTCTGAGACACTTTCATGAAAATGTATATTATTTTTCAATGACCCTATCAGTCTCTAAAACAGATGGAAACACATACATTTATGCACACAACGGCATGCAGGAAAAGAAAGGTGTCAGCTTATGTGTGCTTGAACAGTTTCCTTCAGCATTGCCTTTGTGATTATTCCAGCTATGGTAATGTGAAGCCGTGGCTGCTGTTGCTGGCAGGCAGCTACAGTACGTCCAGTCAAACTCTGTCAACAGAGTCCCTACTGAGAGCTCAGCACAGAGCAGAGTGCACTAAGAACAGGACAGACAGAAGCTCACAACCCAAGTACAAACCACTAACAGAGATCGCCTTCAAATGGGATATGGAAAATGGATTTATATGGTTTGAATAACTCAATTTACATGTGCGCAGCATCCTATATTCAGTTTACGTCCCGTGCGCTTCTCAAGAAAATGAAGCAAGACACCTCTTTTGAGTCAAGCCATTCGTTTTCCATAAGCCATTTGGAAAAATATGGTTTTAAAAGTACTACTTCAGCTGTTATTTAAGTAATCTTAATCTTTGGCCTGTGCCAGTGTGGTCTTTTTCTGTGTGGGAAGAGTGAACTGTTTTTCATCTAATGCAGCAATGTGACTGTTTTGCTGTTTTTGAACTTAGACGGGAACAATACGGTTTTGATGCTCTGAAGGATTATGATGTCATTGCATGCATGATGTCAGCTGAACCGCAGTAAAGCACACTTGTGCCATTTTGTAAAAGAGACACTACAGCCACACTAGAAAAAACTCCTTTAAGTGAATCAGTTCACTGGGTCATAAAAAGCCTAGTGTGAGCTATACACTTTCAAGAAAGAAAAAAAACAAGACAAAAATAATCATTACAATTTAAAATAACTGTTTCTATTTTAATGTTACTGTATATTTTAAAAATGCTTTTTATTCTTGTGATAAAAAAGCTGAATTCAGCAGCCATTAATCCAGCCAGTGTCACATGTTCATTTAAAAACCTCAAATAACATTTCTTGTTATAATCAGTGCTAAAAACAGTTCTGCTGCTTAACATCTTTGTGAAAATTGTGATGCATTTTCTTAGGATTCTTTGATGTATAGTAAGTTCAACAGAACAGCATTTATGTAAAATAAAAATGTCCTCTAAGATTATAATTGTCTTTACTGTATAATTGTCTTTTCTGTAATTTTGGATCAAAGATCAATGCATCCTTATCTTTAAAAAAAAAATGTAAACTTTTAAATTGCAATACTTTTACACAGCAATTTTGCCTCACCTCCGAAAAAAAAACACACCACAAAATAAGCCACTTACACTGCACTAATATAAAACTGGGAGTTAAAGAAAATGGATATAGCTTAAAAACAAGAATGGACAGGTTGGTGCGACAATTAAACAGACATAAGGCCCAACCCTTGGTCCTCCTCAATTTGTAGAGAGATTGAGAAACACCATGAAGGACACATCAGTTGTCTACAAATGGTGCTAACCTGTCAGGAAATGGCTAATGGCAGATTACTCCCGAGACAGACATCTTATAGCAAGGTGAGAGCTTTACAGGCCTCTTTCAGGCAGTTTGAAGAGAGTTTATATGGGAGGTCTTAAAACAAGGGGCAGAACTGTCATATTATGTGCCAGTTAAGGAGCTTTGTTAAACACATGCAAGCCTTGTGTGTTTTATACCTCAGCTAGAAGCAGACACTTGTGATGTGCAGTCTATGCTTTAAACCATGAAAATGTATTGGTTGTCTTTCACTGTTTTAAGGGGCACATGAGGATGCCTTTTGTGCCTTTAAACAAAACAACAGCATAATTTCCTCAACTTTAAAGAGAAAATCACAAGGTTAAAAACAATAGAAAGATGTTTCAAACTAAAGAACATTTTGTGGTGAACAAAATCTGTTACAAAGCCCCATGCATTCATTTTGAAAATTTAATCTTAAAATCCCAGGACACACAAATATGTGCAGGGTGCTTGTTCTGGCAGACACATTGTTCAGTCTGCTCCAACCACAGCATCCCTCAAGAGTGGTATAAGTACAACAGCTCACTCTTCTCAAATGGCCTTAAATCTCTATTCCATGTGGCAGGAAATGGAAGAATTCTTTCCATTCAGGGGCGATTCTGGGGAGAAGTGCCTGCACACTACAAACGTATCTGCTGTCCAGACCATACACACACGCCACACATTAATTCAAATAATGCACAAATATTAGCCTACATGAGTGCATTTCAACTATATATGAAGCTATCCTAAAAATGGTTGTCTAAAACAAAAAACAAAACCCATCCAGTTCATTTTATGTAAAAAAAATTAAACTGAAAGACTCAGAAAAAGGTGTTTCAATTTAAAGTGTGCCTTAATAGGGGTAGTGTGGTATAAGGATATCAACAAATATAAGGCCAGATTAACCCACACACTCAAGTGGTGCATTCATGAATCAAGAGTAAAATGACAACAGCAGGATGAAAGCATTTTGTCTGCATAACTGGACTGCTGCTTTATACAGGGAAAAAAAATCTCTGGGTTGCTTGGCCATACATTATAAACCATAGAGAGATTAGAGTTGTATATATCTTAAAAAAAGAGACATGGCTAATACAAAGATTATGGCAATGAAGACAGATAGATGACAATGAACCCACCATTAAGGAAGAGCTCCTCTTGCAGAGCCTGTCTTGCTTCAGAAGAAAAACACCGTTTCTTTAGCCAGTCAGGATCAAACTCACTACTGTGCTGATCAGGCCAAGTAATGGACACCTACAATGAGTTTCAGAAAGAAAGAAAATACGGTTTAAAGACTATTTGACAGTGTTGGGCAGTAACCAGTCACTATTAACTAGTTACAGTAATAATATTACTTTTTGCAGCAACTAGTAGTGTAACTAATTACTAATACGATTTCAGTAATAATATTACAGTTACCATCCATAAAACAGCTCGTTACCTAGTTACTTTTGATGCCTCAACCGCTACTGTTTTGAAATCCGTCAATCTAATTATTCCTAGATTTATTTTCATAATTTTCAAAACTTGCACAGGCACATGAAGTCACCAGTGCAGCAGACAAGCTTGGAATATGGAAAAGCTTACATTCAGCGGATGTAAATATTGCCATTACATTAATTTTGTCAGGAGAAAAGATGATCTGAACACTGATGTGTAAGTTGTGGCATTACTCTACTCTGGCATTACATGGCTTGCCCACCCACATGCCTCTGATCATGATATAAATTATATTACTATAATTAAACATCTTTTTGATTTAACTTACGTGATTTATTTTGATAAAATACATCATGAAAGTAATATAACTAGTAGTGTAACTACTTACTGTTGCCAGAAAGGAATAAGTTAAGTAATAATATTACATTTGAAAGGAGTAACTAGTAACGAGTAATAAATTAAATTTTTTGAGTAACGAGCCCAACACTGCTATAAGACAATGACCTACATGTAAACCTGGCTGGAAAATAGCTTCTCACTTGCACAGTACTGTGTACTGGAGCCTCCACCAGACTTCCTAACTGTCTTAACCAGCAATACTACAATACCACAGCAGATATACAGTGTTTAGGTGCGGTCACATTAGCAAAAAAGGTCCACTGTCCATTGTCATGACTTTAGAAATGTCTGAAGCACAGCTTACACAGAAGTCAGTTTCAAATGAAGCAGCTTTCTGTTGGTCAACGCAGTGAATTTGCGTCCCCAACTTGAACCTGGTGTGAAATCTGCATAGAGAAACCTTTCACCCTCACAAGAAAATCCTATTCATATAGATTCCTATCTAAATGAATGAATTTCGCCTGCAAAATGTCGCCAAACATCGGTAAATGTGACCGTACCTTTAGTCTCAGGATGTTTTAAAGGGTCATGAACTGAGAAATCAAAATTCCTTTAATCTTTTGACATACATGAGGTCATTGTACTATATAAAAACATCCTGTAAGTTTCAAAACTCAAAACCTTCTCGTTAGTCTAAAAACAGCTTATATTGAAGCCAAAATAAGAAAATAAAAACCTGTTCTTAATGACTTGCCTGGTTAAATAAAGGTTAAATAAAATATATAAAAAAACACAGCTCTACGCAGAAACCAAACGATAAAGATGGCTCCAAAGACAAGAAGACGCTGTGTGTCTTTGCTTTGCATTGCCTTCCTTCTGATCCTAACATTAGGAGTGGATGAACTTTATTTTTAATGAAGATCCAGACTGCATCGGTAAGAACTTGGTCCTTTGTTCACTTCATTTTACCGTGGATTCGATTATAAACAAAGCACAATTTCGCAGGATTTCCAGAAAGATTGAAACTAAAAGACGATTCAGTGCCGACTATATTGTATCTGACAGTAATGTCGCACCACACAAGTGTGAGTAACTGTTTTTATTACGTGGTCACTATTTCTTTGTCTGTTACTACAGATCATTTGATATGTTCTGAGTATTTATGCTTTTTTAACCTAAATCACAGCAGTGTCCATCTATGAAGGATGTAGGCTGTCAAACATACACAACTGTTAGCCAATCATAGCAGTGGGTGTTTACTTCCGAGTCTACAATCCGCCACACCTACTCAAACAGGTCAAAACAGGGCAGAAAATTGCCTATTAATTCTAAATTATGTTTTTTAATGTAAAAATCTTGATAACATTATAAGTGGACCTCAGAGAACAGTACTAAATAATCAAAAGGGCAGTTCATGACCCCTTTAATACAGTCAGGTTTAAAAGAAATAGTTCATCCAAAAATGAAAAATTACTTTTGAAAAATTTTCAAAAAAATGAAGAAAAAAAAGAAAATTCCAAACTTGTATGGCTAAAGGCCCATTCACAAATCTAACACAATAACTATAACGCTAACTACATAGATTTAAAAAAAATTCTAAATTGGAAAAAAATAAATAAATAAATAGCCCACACACAATAGTCCACACCACAACTACAGTATAACAATAAGGGTGCAGAGGAACAATATTGTAGGAATCACTTTCAAAACATTTTTTTTTTCCTGCTAATGAATGATAAAAACATTGACAGCCAATTAGAATCCATCCTGCATTTAAAGTGGCAGATGACAAAACATCAGCATGTTCTTACAATAAACAGATAATATCATTATTGTTATAATTATCTTTATAATTACCATTCTTGATGTGAACAGGCCTTAAGTTGTTCTTTGCCATACAATGAAAATGAATGGGGCTGGGAAAAGTGGATGGGAATAAAATGAATAAACCTGGAATACAGTACAATGCAACTAGGGATGTTCATTTCGGTTCATTTTCCCGACCGACAACCGTTAATTGTTATCCGAACATTAACCGTTAACTGATAAGGTTAGAATAATAAATTAGTGTTAAATAAAAATAGAATGGATGTGTGTCTGTGACCCATTAAAAATACAAAAAAATAAAAAATAAATTAACGGGTTTATTTTAAAGGGGTCATATGATGCGATTTCAAGTTTTCCTTTCTCTTTGGCGTGTTACAAGCTGTTCGTGAATAGATAAGATACCTAAAGTTGCAAAGACTAAAGTCTCAAACCCAAAGAGATATTCTTTATAAAAGTAAAAGACTCGTCCACTTTTATGGAGGACGAGGACTGTTTTCTGGGAGAGTAGCCTACAGTGCCGGTGTTCCGGTGAATTCAGTTCCCGTTTCCCCTTCCGCGCACATGCTGACCCTATACCAGTGGTTCTCAACCTTTTTTTCCACCGGGCCGCACTATGGTCCAAGTGCAAGTCTCGCGGG